TTTCACTCCACCAGGTAGATTATGTCGGCGTCGACACATTGGGCAGGATAGGGTTGCAGCACCTCCACTGTAGGTTTCTAGACAGGGCTGACATATGGACTGTACACAACATGGCATACGACGGGGAATTCGTGTTGCGTCATCAAAGTGTTCTATACATATTGGGCACTCTGTCAGAAGATCCTTGATCGCAGCCACTGAGACAAGATCCGACATATTTGTCTGGGAAAAGACATAATGATCATGATCATGATATATGAACTGTAATGCATGTATCAAACAATCTTTTGACGGGACACAGGGCGACCTGTACCATTCATATGTGGATAGAAACCAGAAAGTAACGAGTTATTTAAAACACATTATTAAAGTACTGGTGAAACAGAAAATCTAAATTTGAAATCTCTTTTATTTCTAATTCAAAGGCAATTTATGAAAAGAGAAATAAGGTCGCATGGCATTCTCGTGTCGATGTTTCTGACAACACGAAGATAGAGTATTAGACTTTGACGGGGGTCCAGGGGGGACCTATATCATTCAGGTGTTGATAACAACCAGCAAGTTACTCAGGATTCACATCAATCTAACTCACTATTCCAGCACATAACAAAATACAAACCGTACGAGGAATGACAGAAGAGAGAGCTTGTACAGGAGGCGTCTCTATGTGCACGTACACAGACAGGACTTGAACAACGCCTTTTCCGTACACGCGCAGTAGCTACTTTCGTTTTAAGGACAACCTGTGATGTGTAATTCATATGGGGTGTTAAGTCTCATACAATAGAAAGGTAGGTCAGCTGTAGACAGTGAATGTAAGTTGAGCACGTCGTGTAGGTATCAAGGGCCACAATATCGCTTCTTACAGACGGGCAGACGTGCTGCTGTTTCAGAAAGGTGAAAATGAACTCATGTTGGCAGTGTCACGGTCAGGGACGGAATCAGGAGATTAAAAAAAAGGTGTCGGAAGGGGAGGGGTTAAGGTTCTAACAAGAACATCACAAACCTTGTATATGAACATATAAACCATTGTCACCTCTTCTTAAACCGCCAATTCAAAATGTTATCATTGTAGGCATTGAGCATACAAAATGTATTGCATGTATTGGTTCGATAGCGTTCGTGCAGGTGGGACGTGTAAGAAATGTTACATTAAGGTTTACGTGTTAACTATTGATATAAAAAATATTACATTAAGAGAAACAACCCGCAACCCTTAATGTAACAATTAGGGTTTTTTTACATTAAGGGTTAATATCGTACATATCATCCCTTAAAAACAAAGTTTTATTGGAAATATATGGTACCTTTGGATATTTTCACGTTTTTCATTATTTTTTCTCGGTTTCTGGTAATTATTTGTAATAGGCGAATTTTCGAATTACGAATTCTACCGTAATTTCTGGTGTTTACATGTTATGGTGAACAGTTTGTTTATTGTAATTCCGCACAAGCGATGGTTATCTTCTGATCCTAACAAACCGAAGAGACGCAATTCTGCACAGCTACGTTCAGCGCCGTCGATGACTGGGCTGTCAGTGCCTTCTATATAAAACACGAAAGTAAGGAATGTACTGTGTCCCTGAACTCATCATTGCCATAGCTTTCTGGCGTCTTAATGGATGTCTCGTTAACAGGGAAGAGTCAATAGGATTTCCATTCCAAATAGGCAAGGTTTACCAACAAATCAGTTTGCAACACAAACTTCCATTCATTTTACAATGAAATACAGTTAAAACACAGTTGTGTCGAACTAACTCTGGTCTCGAAGTAAAAGCTTGATCTCTGAATTCGTTCTTTATCCATTATAATCGGTTGTGTCGAACCTCGGATAACTCGAAGTATTGACGTAGGTCCCTTCAACTTCAGCTGTTTACAGAATTGAAGTAAGTGAATGAGTATGGTTTTACGCCGCATTTATCAATATTCCAGCAATATCCCAGCGAGGGACACCAGAAATGGGCTTCACATATTGGACCCATGGCGGGAATCGAACCGAGGTCTTTGGCTTTATGAGCTAACGCTTAACCACTGGCCTTCCCAACCGCACCTTTACAGAATTGAAATGAAAATAAACATTTGAAGGAAAATAACCAGATGAACAGTTTTGTACTCCAGCAATGCATGGATAAAGAAAAATACGAAAATGGGGCATTGATTAAAACAACATGAACAGACGAACAGGTGAACACGTGAACACGTTACTTACCTATGCGTGTGTTTGTGATGGGTGCCACCGGTGGGACAGGATACGCCCACCATTTTGCGAACAAATAGTATCGTCACTAATTGATCGTGATTCTAAAACACATGCTTATGATATACTCGGAATCGACCAGTGGACACTGCTTTTGGTGGAGATTTCCTGGGAGAGATATCAGGCAATAAATACTTACCTTTTTATTCAAATTGTGAGAATGGCGGGTGCTTCCGGTAGGGCAGGAGATGATTACTCTTTCCGCGAACACCTAGTGTCATCACTGATTTCCATGGGTCCATTCTCATAACTTTCACAGTTAGTTTGCCCTTTACGCCAAATGGAATCTGTTTTGGGGGATAATCTCGACGGGTTATTTATTCTCTGGCATTGATCATTTATATTTATGATTGTGGAAAGGGTTTTGTCGCTTTTATTCCAATAACTAGTATTAATCTAGTGGTCATATGGGTTTTAACTCCGACATTGTTATAAATGCCGCATCACTCTCTACACCAAGACGTAGTCGTGTTTGTAGACGTCGCAGCTGAACACGCCTCTCCCAGACATGGTTCCTGCCACTGCACGGTCAACACTATTCAACTGTAAAGTTGCCTGCAAATACTCGAATCCGGGTTAGGCACTCTATTGGTTGATAGCATGAGCAACGATTAGGGCTCGCATTTTGCAAGGAATGTTTGGGATACATTCTGCCTGGAATCCTCGGGCTCTAAGAGTGATAATTTCGTCGCTGAATATGTTATTTGTCAGCTTTGAAAGAAAATGATAGAAATATTCTGGCATGTATTTATGATCACTGAATGAGCATCGTAACTGAATCAGTGAGTGAGATGCGGCTAGCCTCGTTTTGGAAAGCACCCCAGTAATATCACGGTGCAAACAAGACAACATGAGAAACCATTCGTCTGTATTTTGTTGTGTCAACTGGCCGCCATGATTGTGCTTACTGTCACTTACTGTATATATATATATTTGTATAGGTGTTCTTCTGTCAATTAGTTGGTAAGTGTGTACATAAGAATCATTATATTAATATTGTATATGTTCCATGTGACGATAAACCTCTTTATTGTAATGGTGGTGCAGATATTGTTTCAGTCTTATGTTGGAATATGCATTGATATGACATTTGTTTCATGTGAATGCTACCCTACATATACTAACCGAGGAGGGGGCTGTGTGAATGCCCTCCTACATATAGTAGCCAACTAGGATCTTTGTTGATGCTAACCTACAGAGAGTAACCCACGAGGGGCTGTGTGTATGCTACCCTACAGATAGTAACCCACACGGGTGTGTGTAAATGGTACCCTACAGATAGTAACCCACGAGTGGCTGTGTGTATGCTACCCTACAGATAAAAACCCACACGGGGGCTGTGTGAATGCCAACCTGCAGATAGTAGCCAACGAGGGGCTGTGTGTATGCTACCCTAAAGATAGAAACCCACACAGGGGCTGTGTGAATGCTACACTACAGATAGTAACCCACGAGGGGCTGTGTGTATGCTACCCTACAGATAGAAACCCACACGGGGGCTGTGTGAATGCTACACTACAGATAGTAACCCACGAGGGGCTGTGTGTATGCTACCCTACAGATAGTAGCCAACGAGGGGCCTGTGTGAATGCTACACTACAGATAGTAACCCACGAGGGTGATGTGTGAATGCTACCCTACAGATAATAACCCACGAGGGGATTGTGTGAATTCTACTCTACAGATAATAACCCACGAGGTGATTGTGTGAATGCTACCCTACAGATAATAATCCACGAGGGGGATGTGTGAATGTTACACTACAGATAGCAACCCACGAGGGCGCTGTGTGAATGCTACTCTACAGATAATAATCCACGAGGGAACTGTGTGCATGCTACACTACGGACAGTAACCCACAAGGGGGTTGTGTGAATGCTACTCTACAGATAGTAACCCACGAGGGGCCTGTGTGAATTCTACTCTACAGATAGTAACCGTCGAGTGGGCTGTGTGAATGCTACCCTACAGATAATAATCCACGAGGGGGCTGTGTGAATGCTACACTACAGATAGTAACCCATGAGGGGGCTGTGTGAATGCTACACTACAGATAGTAACCCACGAGTGCGCATTGTGAATGCTACTCTACAGATAGTAACCCACGAGTGGGCTGTGTGAATGCTAACATACAGATAGTGGCCCACGAGGGACGCTCTTACTTTCACATGTTGGTGACATCGTCATGACAAAACATTTTCGTATCTGACAATTTCCCAGATCAACTTCACTTTCATTCATACGTATCCTATATTCCCCATGATCGTGCGTGCACTTGGAAAACATCATCTCAACACGAATGCCTCCAATTCCAACTTGAGCCGTATAAACTGAATTTGTGCGATAGCATCACGCTGCATGGACTTATTGAATGTAGCTAATCTTTCAACGACAGTGTATCCTATCGATGCTTGTGATACTTATTTCCCTAAATATAGCAGATTCCGGAACATGGATTGTGTTCAGAGAATCAGTTATGCCTATCCAGCATACTACCAAATATGTTTTTTTGGAAATAATTTCAAAGCCTAAGTACGTACATATATACGACATTGATCTTATAATGTCAACTAAAATGGCCATTGATCGCTAACCCATTGGTCGAAAGTAGAGAAATTACAGATTTACCACATTTACACATTTCTTGCTTGTTACAATTTGGCGGTTACTATAAGTGAGTGTATGCCGAAGAAACGCCAATCTGCACAGCAAATCGCCCATGTCGGTCACCATAAATAATAAAACATTTCTAGAAGTTACGACAAGATCAAAATAGTGTTTCTCCGTGTTAAGAGGTCCCTTTTGGGTTTCAATAAAAGTTCTGACGCAAAACATATTGATTCAGGAATCGACAGAATAAACTATTAATACGCGAGGGCACATTGACTGATATCACTATGTTATCAAAACAGCAAAGCATATATTCCAAGTGAAAAAAAAACAAGCCAACATAACAAGCGGCAACAATACCATTTATGTCATTTCAAACTTTAATAAAAAAGGTATATAGTCATAGGCAAAGTGACAAGATTATAAAACCTGAAATCTATATAATAAAACGGATGAAATTATATTTGAAACTCCAAAAAGTCATGTACAATTTTAAATTATTCACAAAAAGTATGTCAGCTAAATACACACACGATGTGAATAGCAGGTACAAAATCATTGTTATATTCCAGTGAAAACACAATTGTCTGCAAGGCAACCTGGACAGCAGTAAGTCGCTGGTGATCTCCCTTAGTTTAACAATTGCAACAGTTCACATAGCAGCATGTTATCTTTTGGTGAATCCCACAAAGAGCTATCTACAGTAGGAACTTTGGCGTAAATGTCTGTTTACTGGTATAGTACTGTTCTACACCTGTATATGTACATATATTGACGTTACATTGTTACATCTTCAGAGATATTGATGCAACTTACACATAAATGTAATGTCGTGATCACTCGGTCGTCAGGAAATGAGAATTTACAGACATGTTTAAAAAGATACACGTTGATCGTAGGACTAACAGTGTATTATTCTCGGCTCCATCGCTTCACAAAGCCCGTAAATCTTCGAATGACCAAGACCAATGCATGCTTGCTCCAATCACAGAGGGACCTCAAACGCATTCAGTGTTCGCATGAATAGATTCATTTATAAAATAGTACCTAATCCATACTGTACCTTTCTGTTATAACCTTTTTAAAATGATATTGACTAAAAAACAGCCAGAGACCTTGAATGTATTAAGTATCACATTTAACCATTTTTGACATGTGTTTATATTCATTCATAGTTAATATTTCGTTTCGTTCTTGTACGACAGGTTTTGAAATTTAGATTAACTGCAAAACAATCGCCATTACAGTGCATGCAACATCTGTTTCATACTTCGATCATGACTGACAACATTGAAAACTTCAAATAATTATATGTGTGGCCTGGTTTCAGACATTGGACTCTGTGTTGTACATGCAGAGTGTATTGCTGATGATGGAGACTATTCTACCGATTGTAGTCGGTGAAGGATCCTGTGATGTTGTGGCCTGATATCAGTTCCACACTTGCCTCTATATCTGAGGGATGACCAGCACACATCATGACCCACATGGGTCTGTCAAGGGCAACGTCTGTAACAGTGGTGTACACTGTGTTATCAGTAGCATTAAGAACTTGGATTTTGTTATTGGCGCCATCTAACAAGAAACCCAGTTGTAGGTGATAGGATTGTCCAACTGTGTTTTGACAGAGAGGGTGGTCAGCGAGGCGGGTGTTGTTGAACAAAACCCGGAGACACAGCTGCTGCTTGTGCTTTGAGCATGCAACAACACGTACACTCAGTCCAGTGAGTTGACTCCAGCAAGCATCTGCAGGGAAGGCGGTCAGAGCTTTCTCCAGTGCCATCTTGTTGTCGGGTATCACTTTTTTTAAAGAGAACCTAAGGTTTACTTGATACATGTAAAGCTGACCGGGATTGTTTCGGACCATCAGAGGTCTGGATGCCAGACATGAGTTGATTCTCTGAACCCGACATCCTGTATCAGGAGGAGTGACGGCTGTTAGGGTGTTGGTGATTACATGTCCAGATATGTGTATACCATCACGTGCCGTTCCTGAGTCCCATTCCAGCATAGGGCCTGTGTAAAGAGTAACATTCATAATAGATACAAATACATGCCATTGTAGTGAACAGGAATAAGTTCTCACAGTTTCCGATTCACAATAAAGTCAAATTACTGAAACATAAATCATCATTTATAATCAAATTCATCTGGCTGTGTGATACCTTTACCTATACCATGACAAAGGATAAATAAATGAAAGCTGTTTCTCCTAATTATTTCAATAACGCAAAAGGACAGACCGGAAAGTGAAGAAAGCCTCTTGTTACTGTTAGATATATCACACTGGAGTTATGTATTGACAAACGTCGCACAGAAACTTCAATGAATGAAGTATCATGAAGGATATGGAACACTCATGGGGTACAACTCACATGTTATCTCCTGGCCTGACATCCTCCTGTCCATTTCCATCACTGAAACAATACATAGGACATGTCATTTCTAAAATATATAAGTAAATGATCCTGTCTGGTGTCACAAGACTACATATACTCTTCAACAAGAGGGGCGGTGTGGTGGCCTTGTGGTTCGTTCTACATGTCGATGGCCCGGTTGCAAATCCCCACATGTGTACAATGTGTGAAGCCCATTTCTGGTGTCCCTCGCCGTGATATTGCTGGATTATTGAAACACACCCTCCCAAACTGGTCTGGAAGAACAACATGTTGCCCAGACAGGCCGAATAAATAAGAGAAGAATATGTGTGAAGGCCTAGGTGAGGCAGGACTTGTGGGTAGTTAAGTAAAGGTATTTAAATTGGTAAGTGTTGCCAGCAGCAGTAGCAGCGATGGACGTCTACTTTCGCCAGCAGCAATAGTGATAAGTGAAACGAGAAAATATCCCACTGAAGAGCAGGAGCCTATAAATTTGGTTCGTTAAATAAAAGATAATATAGCATATACTAATTGAGCCCGACACTTGCGCTCGACATTAAAGAGGTTGGAAACAGTGGTCGGCTCGATGTCAGAATACTGTGTGTGAGTGGGGTATTCATGTTCAACTGCGGCACAGCATCTGAGGGAGCTAGTACTATACAATTGTCATCGGCCCGGACTCGTTCAAGCGAGTGCGCACACACACACACGCACGCACACACGCACGCAAATCGTGTGTTTCAAATTCATATTATTCAACCCACTCTTAAGAATCCGTGGAAGGAGATGTCAAAAATCATCTTACCATTGTCCACGGATTGATTTTTTCGTAAATAAATCGTAACAATCCGTAAGTATCGTAAGGATCCGTGAATTTGTGCGATCCGTAAGGACTCGTAAGAAAAGTCTGTGTGTGTGAATAACAAGTTGCAACATTTGAGATAACAGGGGCAACAGTTAGTATGGAAATCCAATTTGATTGAACAAATCACATTATGTTCTTCATACCACACTTACTAGCAACATTTGGTGAATAAGACCAAATAAGATATGTAATAAGTTTCTAATACCTACCCGAGGGGAACTCTGCAGGTTCCAGTGTGATGGCGTTGTTTGCTGCAGTATCTGGAACACCATGCGGCTTCTCTTTTGGGGAGAACGTGACTGATCTGACCATTCCTGCTGCCTTGATATTATCCTGAAGATGTTTTATATTTGCTTGGACAAAGTTGACCCCAGTCCTGACAAAGGGTACCTTCTTTAGCGTCTCCTCAAACATGGCACGCAAGGAGGTAGTTGATGATCCCATCATTTGTAGGTCCTCTACCTTGTCAGCTTTACTTCTCATTTGTCTTGTGTAATCGGTGGAAGATTTAACTCTAGTCTGCAAATCCCTTGTTGACGCCAAGGCATCCTTTGTCAGCTTAAGATTCTGAGCAGATTTTCTTTCAACATCCGATAGGAGAAGTGTTCTTCGTTGCTTCAGTTCACTGTTCAGGTTGTCAAAGGATTTGTTGATATCATCTATTGCTACCCTCTTTGACATTTCGATATTTTCTATCATCTGCATAAAGTCTGCTTCTGCTTTTCCCAATCTCTCTGACTTCTCTTTCATCTTGACAAAAATGTCATCTGAGGATTTTGACCATTCTTTGTGTGCTTCATCCACAGACACAACGTTGTGCCCCTTCCCTTTATCGTGATCTACTACAGTGCAGGACACACAGACGACCTTGTCACAAGTGTGGCAGTAGAACTCTAGAGGGTGTTGGTGCTGACTGCACTGATGTAGACGACGAAAACTATGTACAGGTCGTCCCTTCATCTCATCAAAGGTATTTATAGTGTGGGCTTTTGTTGTTATATTCCTTCTGTGGGCATTCAAGCAGAGAGAACAGAGAAATACCCCACAGTTTTCACACTGAGCAGCAGCTGTTTCCTTGTCAGGACAATCTGTACATGGAAGATGGAGACCTTTCTGGATCTTGAGGTAGTCCAGAGTCTTCAGGATCAGGGTCTCTTTGGGCAGAGATTTCACCCCACCAGGCAGATTATGTCGGTGTCGACACATGGGGCAGGATAGTTTTGCAGAACCTCCACTGTAGGTTTCTAGACAGGGCTGACATATAGACTGTACACAGCATGGCATACGACGGGGAATTCGTGTTGCGTCATCAAAGTGTTCTATACATATTGGGCACTCTGTCAGAAGATCCTTGATTGCAGCCACTGAGACAAGATCCGACATGTTTGTCTGGGAAAAGGCATAATGATCATGATCATGATATATGAACTGGAATGAACTTTCCATGCACCAAACAATCTTTGACGGGATCCAGGGCGACCTGTACCATTCATATGTGGATAGCAACCAGGAAGTATTTAGATATTTAGGACAAGTTATTAAAGCACTGGTCAAACAGAAAGCCTACCACATTACACACGAATTCTAATTCTAATTCTAAGGCAATTGAAGAAGAGCAAGAAATGGTCACATGACGTTCCCGTGTGGATGTTTCGGATAGCATTAAGATTAAACTTTGACGGGGGTCCAGGGCGACCTAAATCATTCAGGTGTCGATAACAACCAGGAAGTAACTCGAGATTTACATCCACCTATAAACTCACGATCCCTGCACATTACAGAATCCATTGCTACATAACAAGCATTGTTTAATCCCTAAACAAACATAATCTATCACAAATAGACTGATTAACGTATTTACCGTACGAGGAATGACAAAGGAGAGAGCGTGTACAGAAACCGTCCATAGACATATACAGACCGTCCATACACAGGCAGTACTCGACCGACGCCTTGTCCGTACACGCGCAGTAGCTACCTTCGTTTTAAAGACAACCTGTTACGTATAATTCATATGGGGTGTGCAGTGTCATACAATAGCCAAGTAGGTCAGCTATAAACAGTGAGTGTAAGGCGAGCACACACGTCGTGTGGGTATCGCTGACACAAGGGGCCACAACATCGCCTCTTACAGACGAACACACGTGCCGCTGTTTCAGAAAGGTGAAAAGGAACTCATAATGCCTGTGTCACGGTCAGGAACGGAATCAGGAGAAAAAGGTTGTGGAGGGGTGGTGGGGTGGGAGCGGTGTGTGGAGGTTTTTACCAAACAAATCTCAAACCCTGTGTAGAAACCACTGTCACTTTTACATTAACAGCCAATTCAACATGTTATCATAGCAGGCAATGCGCTTACAAAATGCCAGGGGTGGTGGTAACCCGAGCTCCTTACCAGCGCGTGACACCTTCGTTACACTCTCGGTAACATCGCTCCCACCAGTGTGGGCGCGGCCATTACAAGAATCTTGAAATGTGTCCTCTAACCCCATATGTAATCACGTTTGTACTTTTGTTTATGTCTTTGGGAATGCCATCATATTTCATTTTGAAAAGGTTTACGACTGACCATGTTTTCCAGATGAATTTACTTTGTTGTTTCAATAATCAGATTGGTTCGAGATTGCAGACAAACGGAAAATTAACCAACTTCCCCCTTACATTCTTATTATATCAATTAAAGATGATAGTTTTAATGAAATAGTAATTCAATTTGACAAACAAAGAAAGTAATTTATCAGCGGTAAGTGTATTCGGCATCACGACAGTCGTCACTTGTCTGTAAACATAACTGTCATTCGATTGCGAGTTCAACTCCAAGCATGGTTGGGGCCACCTATCACAGTGGGGAGTTTTGACTTGTGGCAGCGATAGTATAGAGAGCTCCGCGAACGGACTATCGCTGTGAGGAGCTTGGTGGTAACCCTCTGAACGTCAGTTTCCATTGTATGCAGAGTTGCCCCCCTTAGACCAGCGACATCAGGTGATGAATGACAATGTGTGTATGTGTAGGTAGGTTGATGTTGAGTTTAAGGGCGATCATTAAAGTTATATTTGCGCCGACCACAACAAATAACTATAGGCTAGAGAAAAGTGAGTAATGTTGATGTGATGATTAAACAGTCTGCTTCGGGATCAAGTATATATTTTATAATTATCTTCTAATATATCAAACTTTCCTGATATAGACACTAATGTAGCCTGCTGAATTAAATTATAAAATAGAGTGGGGCCCTTAAGTGTAATTAGAGAAAAGGTGTTGTCTTTCTGAAGTACTGCGGGGCGGTCGGGTAGCCGAGTGGTTAATGCGTTCGCTCGTCACGCCACTGACCCGGGTTCGATTCCCTGGCTCGATTTTGCTAAAAGCGGCGTAAAACCATACTCACTCACTCTGAAGTACTGCACTTCCTAAATTTAGTTTTATATGAATGTGGCCTGGGCCTCGTAGGTATTTGCATCGCAGTAAGTACATGTACATGGCGGAGAAACCTCTTTATCAATAACACTGAGGTAAGCATTTAACCCACAGTGTCCTAGGTGAAGCCAAGTAAATTTGACTCACTCGCGTTTCTGTCGAGGACGTTTTGTGCTTGTAGAGTCAGTAAATAGAACTTACTCATGATCATATGGCCCCCGTCTTACCCTGGAGCAGCATGGATGCGATCCCCCAAATCCAGGGTGTACCCGCCACCTGTAGGTGGTGAGGATTACTTTTGTTCAAATGGAACCGATGTCCCCACGGATCAAATACTCAATAACACCCGTAAGTCGGATATTACATACTGTTTATCGAAATTGTAAATAAGAAGCATTGTCCGTGAGCATTCTTTCTACACACATACAAACATAGCATCAATCATGACATCAGACACTATTTTATTGTGATTCATAAACGCATGCTTTTCATATAGCCTCACAGTCTTTCTCAGTCACACTCCATGGGCCATAATAAATAGATAAAGCTAAATAAAGTCTTTCTCTCCCTCCCTCCCTCCCTCACTCCATCTCTCTTTGACAGTGTATTCAACTAATTTAAGACTAAGGTACAAGGGGGTCGCTGAAACATACGGCACAGTCGCCGATTTCAAGTAACTTCTATTTCAATGACAGTCATAACGTGTAGGTTTCCTTGCTGCTTCTATGGGTGGAGAGTGTGTATTTAAGTGGATGGTAATTGTGTGGGCGGAAAGAACGTTCATGGATTGATAGTGCATGTGTGATGCATGTATTACGCGTGTATGGGTGGATACTAGTAATGCATACAAGGGTGGTTAGTGCTTGTGCCGATGGCTAGTGATTGTATGGGTTATTAATGCTTGTCCGGTGCAATTCCCTTGACTTGTACCATATGTCCCCGTTTTAGGTGAACAATTTACTTGCCTTTGTATGCGTTTTTGACACCTGCCTTTTTGCGAACACCTGCTCATGATTTCGTCGGAAAAAGACTGCCCCCCGATCCCAAAAATTATATATGTGGGCATTGCCGTTCAGCCCTTTTAATTACATTTGTTTTAGGCGGTGGGGGGCGGGGGGGGGGGAGGGGGGAGTTTTCGGGCCGAAGTCTTTACATAGTCTGAATCTTACTATGGACTCTGCTTTTGGCAGATTTGTCTTATGATTATGGAACTGTTTTTGTCGCTTATATTGGTTTAAGTCAACAATGTTTGTCCGGATGCAGAGTTTTTTATGAGAGGCAGATAGTGATTGTTTGGGAAGATCGTGCATGTATTGGTTCGATAGCGTACGTACAGGTGGAACGTGTGTGACAATCCTCAATGTACAAATTATTCTTAATGTAAGAAATGTTACATTAAGGTTTACGTGTTAACTGTTAATTTAAAAAATATTACATTAGGAGTAACAACCCGCAACCCTTAATGTAAAAATTAGTTTTTTTACATGAAGGGTTAATATCGTGCATATCGCCCCTTATTGTAAACAAAGTTTGATTGGAAACTACTACTCTGGAAGGTGATGAGCATCAGTTGTCGGCTCCAGTCGCAGATCGCGACACAAGTGGAACATCGTCAACTGTAGATCAGGTGCGGGTGCTGAGGGTGCTGCGGTCAAGGTCGAAGGTTAACTCAGACCCAGAGTAATATAAATGACAAATACAACTGGGATTGTGCTTTAGCCAACAATACTGTAAATTTGAAGAAGAGAATGATTCAAAACCCTTTTTAATTTCTTAAGGTTTTTTATTTGTACTGGTGTTGAACACGTTTTTCAAATTAAATATCAACCAATTCACAGACTCAAATACAAATTCTCCCGGAATTTCTGGTGTTTACATAAGTTATGGTGAACAGTTTGTTTATTGTAGTTCCCCACAAGCGATGGTTATCTTCTGATCCTAACAAACCCAAGAGACGCAATTCTGCACAGCTACGTTCAGCGCCGTGGACGACTGGGCTGTCAGAGCCTTCTTTATAAATAACGAAAGTAAGGAATGATCTGTTTCCCTGAACTCATCATTGCCATAGCTCTTTGACGTCTTTACGGATGTCTCGTTAAACAGTGAAGAGTCAATAGGATGTCCATTCCAAATAGGCAAGGTTTACCAACAAATCAGTTTGCAACACAAACTTCCATTCATTTTACAATGAAATACAGTTAAAACACCGTTGTGTCGAACTAACGCTTGTCTCGAAGTAAAAGCTTGATCTCTGTGTATTCGTTCTTTATCCATTATAATCGGTTGTGTCAAACCTCGGATAACTCGAAGTATTGACGTAGGTCCCTTCAAATTCAGCTGTTTACAGAATTGAAGTGAGTGAGTGAGTGAGTATGGTTGTACGCCCCATTTATCAATATTCCAGCAATATCACGGCGAGGGACACCAGGAATGGTCTTCACACATTGTACCCATGTCGGGAATCGAACCGAGGTCTTCGGCTTTACAAGCGAACGCTTTAACCACTAGCCTTCCCTACCGCCCCTTTACAGAATTGAAATGAAAATAAACATTTGAAGGAAAAGAACCAGATGAACTTTTTTTGTACTCCAGCAATGCATGTATAAAGAAAAATACGTGACTAGATGAACAGGTGAACACGTGAACACGCGAACAAATGATATCGTCACTAATTGATCGTGATTCATAAACTCATGCTTATGATATAGTCGGAATCGTACAGTGGTTTTGGTGGAGATTTCATGGGAGAGATATCAGGCAATAAATACTTACTTTTTCATTCAAATTGTGAGAATAGCGGGTGCTTCCGGTAGGGCAGGGCATGCTTACTCTTTTCACGAACACCTTGAGTCATCAAACGATTTCTAGTGGTCCATTTACATAACATTCACAGTTAGTTTGCCCTTTACGCCAAATGTTTCGGTGGATAATCTAGACTGGTTATTAATCTCTGGCATTGGCAATTTATATCAATGGCTGTGGAAAGGGCTTTGTCGCTTTTATTCCAATAACAAGTATTAATATAGTTTTAATATGGGTCCTAATTTCGACATTGTTATAAATGCCGCACTCGAAACACCAAGACGTAGTCGTGTTTGTAGACGTCGCAGCTGAACACGCCTCTCCCAGGCATGGTTCCTGCCACTGCACGGTTATCACTATTCAACTGTAAAGTTGCCTGCAAATAATCGAATCCGAGTAAGGCACTCTATTGGTTGATAGCATGAGCAACGATTAGGACTGGGACGGGTAACTCGGGTACCCAAGTCATTTGGGTACTGAGTAGGTCCAGGGTTCCCACAGGACTACCCGGACCCGTGGTTAGTCACGTGATATATTGTCTAATGATTAAACTTATCTGGAACTCTATGGCTACACTACAAGTCATTAATATTCGCATTTCTTTCTGACTATGCACCCATTCCTTCTGATTTTTCATATGGTTGAACTTCAGTGTATGCATGACCAGATTGTATAATAAATATATCGAAATATATCGAAATACGTTTTGCCAGGGCAATGCTAAAATTGTTCCCAATCGGACATTTTGCGAGAGCTCCTGAGACCTACAGTTGGTACGCGGGTAGGTTCGGGTAATAGGGGGGCGGGTAGGTTCGGGTAATAGGGGGGCGGGTACCCGCGTAGTAAATTTGGACTCGTCCCAGCCCTAGGAACGATCCACTCAGTGGAGGTGCGATGGCACACAATCAGCCACGTTACATATTGCACACCCTGTCCCAACAACATTATCGCATTTTGCAAGGAATGTTTAGGATACATTCTGCCTGGAATCCTCGGGTCCTCAGAAAGATAATTTCGTCGCTGAATATGTTTTTCTCAGCTTTGAAAGAAAATTATACAAATATTCTGCCATGTATTTATGATCACTGAATGAGCATCGTAATTGAATCAGCGAGTGAGTTGCGGTTAGCCTCGCTTTGGAAAGCACCCCAGTAATGTCACGGTGCAAACAAGACAACATGAGAAACCATTCATCTGTATTTTGTTGTGTCAGTTTTCTACTGGCCGCCATGATTGTGCTTATTGTCACTTACTGTATATATCTATATTTGTATAGATGTTCTTCTGTCAATTAGGTGGCAATTGTGTACATAAGAATCATTATATTAATATTGTATTTGTTCTATGTGACGATAATCACTTCTATTGTAATGGTGGTGCAGATATTGTTTCAGTCTCATGTTGGAATATGCATGGATATGACATCTGTTTCATGTGCATGCTACCCTATACAGATAGTAACCCACGAGGGGGCTGTGTGAATGCCCTCCTACAGATAGTAGCCCACTAGGATCTGTGTGAATGCTACCCTACAGATAGTAACCCACGAGGCGGCTGTGTGAATGCTAAACTACAGATAGAAACCCACGATTGGGCTGTGTGAATGCTAAACTACAGATAGAAACCCACGATTAGGCTGTGTGAATGCTATCCTACAGATAGAAACCCACGAGGGGGCTGTGTGAATGCTACTCTACAGATCGTATCCCACGATTGGGCTGTGTAAATTCTACCCTTCAGATAGTAACCCACTAAGGGGCTGTGTGAATGCTACCCTACAGATAGTAACCCACGAGGCGGCTGTGTGAATGTTTGCCTACAAAATGTAACCCACGAGGAGGCTGTGTCAATGCTACCCTGCTGAAAGTAGCACACGAGGCGGCTGTGTGAATGCTACTCTACAGACAGTAACCCACGATTGGGCTGTGTGATTGCTAACCTACAGATAGAAACGCACGAGGGGGCTGTGTCAATGCTACCCTACAGAAAGTAGCCCACGAGGCGGCTGTGTGAATGCTACTCTACAGACAGTTACCCACGATTGGGCTGTGTGATTGCTAACCTACAGATAGAAACCCACGTGGCGGCTGTGTGAATGCTACCCTACACATAGTAACCCACGAGGCGGCTGTGTGAATGCTACCGTACAGGCTAGTAGGCTACTACCGTCTGTGTTAATGGTAACCTACAGATAGAAACTCACGAGAGGCTGTGTGCCATCATATCCCAATTACGTGGATCGATGCTCACGATGTCTATCAATGGATTGTCTTGTCCAAACTCGATACTGATAGTGTTGAGTCATTGTGGGTAGAATAAAACATTGATAGAAATTACGACAAGATCAAAAGAGTGTTCTTTTGAGGTTTCCTTTATAGTTCTTACATAAAACATATTGATTCAGGAATCTAGAAAAATATACTATTAATATACCAGGGCACATTGACTGATATCACTATGTTATCAAAACATCAAAGCATATATTCCAAATAATAAAAAAAACAAGGTCAAGATACCAAGCGGCAACAATCCCTTTTATGCTACTTCAACCTGAAATATATAAGGTATTCCTTACAACTGTCACATGACAAAAAGTCTGAGGGAAAGAGAACAGATTATAAAAAATTCAATCTAGATTTACAAAATATAAATATATATATTTGAAACTTAACAAACACATACACCATTTAACATATTCACAAAAATATGTCAGCTAAATACACACACGCTATGGATAGCATGTCCAAAATCGTAATTATATTCCAGTGAAAACATACTTGCCTTCAATTCAATCTGGACAGCAGTAGGTCGCGGGTGATCTCCCTTAGTTTAACCATTGCAAAGCAACATGTTATCGTTTGGTGAATCCCACAAAGAGCTATCAACAGTAGAAACGTTAATGTAAATACCCATGTCTGTTTGCTGGTATAGTACTGTTCTACACCTATATATGTACGTATTTTAACGTTACATTGTTACATCTAAAGATATATTGGTGCAACACAAAAACGTAATTTACATACTACACGTTAAACAAGATCTAGCCAGCAGTATTTCACGGCTTATCTCCCTTAGTTTAACCATTGCAGCAGTTTACAAAGCATCATGTTATCGTTTCATGAATCCCACAACGAGCTGTTCTATATATGTACATATATTAACGTTACATCTGAAGAGATATTGATGCAACTTACACAAAAACGTAATGTTGTGATCAATCAGTAGTCCGGAAATGGGAATTTACATACTTCATGTTAAAAAACAAATCTCTTGATATTTAGACTAACAGTGTATTGATATGTAGACTAAAAGTGTATTATTCTCGGCTACATCGGTTTCTCAAAGCCCATAAATCTTCAAATGACCAAGATCAGTTGTGCATGCCAACGGTAATACACAGAGAGCACAATGTATTCACTGCCAGCATGAATATATTCAATAATAAAATAGTAGTTAATCCAAACTGTACCTTTCTGTTATAACCTCGATAATTGATATGGTCTTTAATAACAGCCACAGACCTTTGATGTATTAAGAATCACATTTAACCATTCTTGACATGTTGTATTCATTCATAGTTGATATTTCGTTTCGTTCTTGTACGACAGGTTTTGAAATTTACATTAACTGCAAAACAATCGCCATTACAGTGCATGCAACATCTGTGTCATACTTCGATCATGACTGACAACATTGAAAACTTCAAATAATTATACGTGTGGCCTGGTTTCAGACATTGGACTCTGTGTTGTACATGTAGAGTGTATTGCTGATGATTGAGACTATTCTACCGATTGTAGTCGGTGAAGGATCCTGTGATGTTGTGGCCTGATATCAGTTCCACTCTTGACTCTAAGGTTGAAGGACGACCAGCATACATCTTGACCCACATGGGTCTGTCAAGGGCAACATCTGTGACGGTGGTGTACACTGTGTTATCAGTAGCATTAAGAACTTGGATTTTGTTATTGGAGCCATCCAACAAGAAACCCAGTTGTAGGTCATAGGATTGTCCAACTGTGTTTTGAATGAGAGGGTGATCAGTGAGGAGGGTGTTGTTGAAGAACACCCGGAGACACAGCTGCTGCTTGTGCTTTAGGCATGTAACAACACGTACACTCAGTCCAGTGACTTGACTCCAGCCAGCATCTACAGGGGAGGCGGTCAGAGTTTTCTCCAGTACCGTCGTATTGTCCGGTATCACTGTTTGTAGAGAGAACGTAAGGTTTACTTGATACATGTAAAGCTGACCGTGACTGTTTCGGACCATCAGAGGTCTGGATGCCAGACATGAGTTGATTTCTTGAACCCGACATCCTGTATCAGGAGGAGTGACGGCTGGTGAGATGTTGGTAATTACATGCTCAGATACGCTTATACCATCACTAGCCATTCCTGAGTCCCAATCCAACATAGGGCCTGTGTAAAGAGTAACATTCATGATAGATACAAATACATGCCATTGTAGTGAACAGGAATTAGTTCTCACAGTTTCCGATTCACAATTAAGTCAAATTAGAAAAACAAAATCCATGATTTATAAACATTAAAAGAAATTTCATCTGGTTGTGCAATACATTTTCCTGTACCACGACAAAGGATTAAACAAATGTCAGCTGTGGATCCTAATTGAGCAAAGCCTCTTGTTACTGTTAGATATATCACACTAGAGATATGTATTGATAGGCGTCACACAGAAACTTCAATGAATGAAGTATCATCAATGATACAGAACAATCATGGGGTACAACTCACATGTTATCTCCTGGTCTGACATCCTCCTGTCCATCTCCACCATTGAAAAAATACATAGGACTTGTAACTTCTACAAAATATATATGCAAATATATAAGTAAATGCTCCTGTCTGGTGTAACACGCCTACATATACTCTTCAACAAGAGGGGCGGTGTGGTGGTCTCATGGTCAAAGAGTTCGTTCTACATGTCGATGGCCCGGGTGCGAATCCCCACGTGGATATAATGTTTGAAGCCCATTGCTGGTGTCCCTCGCCGTGATATTGCTGGATTACTGAAACACACCCTCCCCGACTTGGTCTGAAAGGACATGTTGGCCAGACAGGCCGAAGAAATAAGAGAAGAATATGTTTGGTCAAAGGCCTCGGTGAGGCAGGACTTGTGGGTAGTTAAGCAAAGGTAGTTTAATGGGCAAGTGGAGTTGCAACCAGCAGCAGCAGCGATGGACGAATAGTCTCGCGAGCAGCAATAGTGATAATAATAAATATCCCCCTGAACAGCAGGAGCCTATAAATTTGGTGATTTCAATAAACTGTAGAAAATAGCATATGCTTAGTGAGCCCACAAGTACTCTGTTCAAGAAAAAGAAACATTCATTGTTATAATACAATAAGTACACGGAAATGGACAGCAACAGTTGAAATTGACATGAGGCAAGGAAGGGAAATGTAACTGAAATGTGATGGATATGCAAGAAAAAAGTATAGTGATGACGTAACCAGTATAGGGGTTAGACGATGTGACGTCAGCATAAAGTGGATTGGGGGAGAATGATGTCATAGTGTGAGCAAGGGGAAAGAGTATAAACAGGGTTGTACTTGCTGTTTCCCAGACTTGCGCTCGGCATTAAAGAGGTCGGAAACAGTGGTCGGCTCGAAGTCAGTAAACTGTGTGTGAGTGGGGATCAAGCACACACACACGCATGCGCACACACACACACTAACACACACACACACTAACACACATGCAACATTTGGTGAATAACACGAAATATGATATGTTCTAATTTTCTACAACCTACATGTAGGGAACTCTTCAGGTTCCAGTGTGATGGCAGTGTATGGTGCAGTATCTGGAACACCATGCGGTCTCTCTCTTGGGGAGAACGTGACTGATCTGACCATTCCTGCTGCCTTCATATTATCTTGAAGATGGTTTATATTTGCTTGGACAAAGTTGACTCCAGTTCTGACAAAGGGTACCTTCTGCAGTGTCTCCTCCAACATGGCTCGCTAGGAGGCAGTTGATGACCCCAAAACTTGTAGGTCTTCTATCTTGTCAGCTTTACTTCTCATGTGTCTTGTGTAATCAGTGGAAGATTTAACTCTAGTCTGCAAATCTCTTGTTGACTCCAACGCCTCCTTTGTCAGCTTAAGATTCTGAGCAGATTTTCTTTCAACATCTGATAGGAGAACTGTTCTTCGTTGCTTCAATTCATTGCTGAGATTGTCAAAGGTTTTGTTGATATCATCTATTGCTACCCTCTTTGACATTTCAATGTTCACTATCATCTGCAATAATTCTTCTTCTGCTTTTCCCAATCTCTCTGACTTCTCTTTCATCTTGACAAAAAATGTCATCTGAGGATTTTGACCATTCTTGGTGTGCTTCATCCACAGACACAACGTTGTGCCCCTTCCCTTTATCGTGATCTACTACAGTGCAGGACACACAGACGGCCTTGTCACAAGTGTGGCAGTAAAACTCTAGAGGGTGTTGGTGCTGACTGCACTGATGAAGACGACGTAAACTATGTACAGGTCGTCCCTTCATCTCATCAAAGGTATTTATAGTGTGGGCTTTTGTTGTTATATTCCTTCTGTGAGCATTCAAGCAGAGTGAACAGAGAAATACCCCACAGTTGTCACACTGGGCTACAGCTGTTTCCTTGTCAGGACAATCTGTACATGGCAGACGGAGACCTTTCTGAATCTTGAGGTAGTCCAGAGTCTTCAGGATGACAGTCTCTTTGGGCAGAGATTTCACCCCACCAGGCAGATTATGTCGGTGTCGACACATGGGGCAGGATAGGGTTGCAGCACCTCCACTGCAGGTTTCCAGACAGGGTTGACATATGGACTGTACACAACATGGCATACGACGGGGAATTCGTGTTGCGTCATCAAAGTGTTCTGTACATATTGGGCACTCTGTCAGAAGATCCTTGATCGCAGCCACTGAGACAAGATCCGACATGTTTGTCTGGGAAAAGACATAATGATCATGATCATTATATATGAACTTGAATGAACTTTCCATGTATCAAACAATCTTTGACGGGATAAGGGCGACCTGTACCATTCATATGCGGATAGAAACCAGGAAGTAAATAGATATTTAAAACACGTTATTAAAGTAGTGGTCAAACAGAAAATCTAAATTTAAAATCTATTTTATTTTTAATTCAAAGGCAACTTATGAATAACGAAATTAGGTCGCAAGGCATTCTCGAGTCGATGTTTCTGACAACACGAAGATAGAGTATTAGACTTTGACGGGCATTTGGGGGAGGGGGGGGGGGGGGGGGGGGGGCTATATCATTGAGGTGTTGATAACAACCAGCAAGTAACTGTAGATTCACATCAATCTATTCACTATCCCAGCACATAACAAAATACATACCGTACGAGGAATGACAGAAGAGAGAGCTTGTACAGAAGGCGTCTCTATGTGCACGTACACAGACAGGACTCGAACAACGCCTTTTCCGTACACGCGCAGTAGCTACTTCCGTTTTAAGGACAATCCGTGATTCATGTGCAGTCTCATACAACAGAAAAGTAGGTCAGCCGTTAACAGTGTAGATCGATTACTCCGTGTCAGATGAACAGACTTTCCGCTGTTTCAAAAAGGTTGAAAATAAACTCATGTTTGTATCTTATCTCAGTGATTGGAGGCCCAATCTACCAATAAAATCAAAATCCCTGTCTACAAACCATTATTATTTTTACTGGAACTGATGTCTCTCTCTCTCTCTCTCTCTCTCTCTCTCTCTCTCTCTCTCTCTCTCTCTATCTCTCTCTCTCTTTCTCTCTCAAAACACAATCAGAGCAGCGATTCCAAGTAACTTCTATTCAAATGATAGTCATAGGTACGCTCACCTTTTTGCGAACACCTGCTCATGATTTCGTCGGAGAAAGACTGCAGCCCGTGTCCCAAAAGTTATATATGTAGACATTGCCGTTCAATCTTTTTATTTTTATATATATTTTAAGAGGGAGGGGTGTACGCGGCAGAAGTCTTTCCATAGTCTGAATCTTACAATGGACTCTACTTTGGGCAGATTTGTCTTATGATTACGGAACTATTTTTGTCGCTTATATTTGTGTAAGTGGACAATGTTTGTCCGGGTGAATAGTTTTTTTATAAGAGGCAGAGAATGCTTGTTCGGGCAGTTCGTGCAAGTGTTGGTTCGATAGCTTTCGTACAGATGGACCCTGCTTGTATTGGTGGATAGTGTGTGTATGTGCAGACAATACGTCTATGGATTGCTCGTGAGTGTATGGGTAGGAAGTGCTTTAAGTTTGGCAAGTGATTGTATGAGTGACTGGTGATTGTTTTATTGGATGGTGCCTTCTGCCAAGAGTGACTAAGGGACTACAAGGGGAGAAGGCTTAAGTTTAAGTACGGTGTGTATGGCCATCACTCACATCCACGACTACAGCGACTACGGCTACGGCGTTACGTCATGTTAAACCAACTATGCTTTACAAGTGAGTGCGTAGTTGGCTTTGACACCGTTTTGAACAGTACTGAACAGCTTTATCAGGGTGTTATATCAGAGTCATATCAGGGCGTGTATATTCCAGTCATATCAGGGCGTGTATATTCCAGTTACACCATTGCGTGTGTATACCAGTTATACAACGGCGTTTTCTATTCCAGTTATATCAGGACGTGTATAGTCAAGTTATATCAGGGCGTGTCTATTCCAGTTATATCAGGGCGTGTATATTCCAGTTATACCACGTCGTGTATATTCCAGTTATGTCAGGGCGTGTATATTCCAGTTATACCACGACATGTATATTCCAGTTATACCACGACATGTATATTCCAGTTTTTTCACGACAGGTATATTCCAGTTATATCACTGCGCGTATATTCCAGTTACATCATGGCGTGTATATTCCAGATATATCATTGCGTGCCAGCGTAATGTGGAAAAAGGCCCGAAGTGAAGCAGGTCTCGTTTACGGTATGATGCTGACAAACCTAGAAACATAATCAGGGCGAACCGGGATTCGAACCCACAATCATATGTTCCTTGGCTACCAATTGCAGAGCTAGTTGCGATGCCTCAGACAACTGGGCCACCTGTGTCGCCACATGCTCTCAATGCTATACTATACGACATCACTGCTCCAGAATGTGGCAACGCATTCTTGGTGAGGTGAAATGGGGTTAACGTCGCGTCCAAGATTATTGCACTTATATAGCGACGTGCATGCACGTGTATGTGTGTGTGTGTGTGTGTGTGTGTGTGTGTGTGTAGCTGCTTGTACTAGATTTATAGTGCTAGCACACTGAGATACCATGCCGCAGTTTTAACACGAGTACCCCACTCAGACACAGTATACTGACTCCGAGCCGACCAGTCCTTGTTTTAGCCCCTTAATGCCGAGCGCAAGACAGGGTAACAACAAGTACCATCTTTTAAGGTCTTTTGGTATGACGCGGCTGGGGATCGAACCCCGGACCCCTGCGCTCTCCGGGCGGACGCTCTACCATTGGACCACGGAGGCGGTCCAACGCATTCTTGAGATTGTAATATTTTCTTTACATTGTGATGTGATGTGATGTCAAGCGTGCCATGTTTAAAACTATTTATGGTGATATTGTGTTTTCTCTATGTACGAGTACACACATAACGAACATTTGCACACCCTGCGAACACAAATATCCCAGTAAGCTATCAACAAAACACACATCACATATACAGTAAGCGAATGTTGTTTAACGCCGCAGTCAGCAGTATTCAAGCTATACCCAGGTGAACATCACATTTATAACCAGAACTGATTTGAGTTCATGAGCCATTTATTCCTGATACAGATAGAATACCTTCGAAATATATTTGTATTTAAATCAAGAATCGTATTTACACATTGAACCTAATATTGTAAGTGGAATGCAATGCAGTCAATCAAAGTCGCCATCAGACTATGCAGGTGGTTTTTTTTGTGAAAGGCCACCTGTTGATGTTAATTAAAAAACAGATGATAGAGTTATCCCTTTGTTGGGGCCATGTTTGGAATCCTAGAAGAGACATTGTCGCGTATTTGCCCATAAGAAAACAAATAAAAGGTTTTAGAATTAGCCAGAGCGTGATAATGCGACAACGCCCATTTTGACCATTTGTAGCGTTGTCGCGCTTTGGTTAATTTTGATATTTTATGCCTGTTTTAGCAAGGGCGAAAACGTGGCAATGTCCCATTTTTGATTTCATAATTATGGAAGATGGTCAAGTATTGTATTTACATGATCACATGACGAAATATTAGAGGTTCTCTTTGAGGGCGTTATTGTTGACGGTGACGCTTGTCTCTCGACGACACTTGACGACGATGTAGACGGGATGCAGGAACGACAGTTGCACCAAACACAGCATCAAGATACACATCTGTGGAGGATGACAACGGTGATTGGTAATGTAGAGTCGACTCTCGTCATCAACAACTGTTCATCTAATCAGCGTCATCAAATTAACTGACTTTTTTATATCACCTTTAAGCTTTCGTTGTGCAGAGTTGCGTCCCTTGGGCACGTCAGAAACCTATGATTGTGGGTTCGAATCCCTGTAAGCCCCGATTATACTTCTAGGTTTGTCAGCACCATACCCGTGTTCGTGGGGTTCACATAAGTGATAAACGTGTGAGACCTACATCACTTCGGGCTTTCCTCCCACATTAAGCTGACACACCGTGATAGAACTGGGATGCTGTTCAAAGTGGCGTTAAACCCAACTCAAACACTCAATATGTTGATTATGTCTAAACACACATTCAATGACTTTAATAAAATCACCAAGGATGAAAGACACAGGACACCACGACCAGGCCTCACAAACGTAGGACAACATACCTTCTACCTTAAATGGTCTTCACCTAACGATGGCACCGGGTAACTGGTTAGGTGAGGTGAAATTGGGTTTAACGTCGCGTCCAAGATTATTGCACAAATATAGCGACGTCCATGTACGTTTGTGTGTGGCAGCTTGTACTAGTCCGGATTGAGTGCTAGCTCACTGAGAGACCATGCCGCAGTTTAACATGAATACCCCACTCAGACACAGTATACTGACTCCGAGCCGACCAGTCCTTGTTTTAGCCCCTTAATGCCGTGCACCAGACTGGGTAACAACAAGTACCATCTGTTAACGTCTTTTGGTATGACGCGGCCAGGGATCGAACCCCGGGATCTAAACATGGTGATTATTAACAATTTAAGATCGTCACAATAGTATTAGTGATCGTAGTAATATATTATTTATAACAATCAAAATATCAACAATAACGACGACGATCATAATTATGATTAAATCAAGGCGATAATTAACTAAAATACCGCTTGGATTTAGTAACCAAATGCATCATTATTATCCCGACCATATTATCTTTAGCTTCCATCTTGCTCATCAGTTAACACATTACGTGATCTGTACGTACGTGTGTGTACGCCCCTTCGTATGCGTACGACCAGGAATACAGGGCGTACTGCAAGAAGGAGAGAAAGCCACTAGAGATGACCATCACCGTGTACAGGATGCTGAAGTGTTCAGCTGGAAACCTACAAGTATATTTGGACATTTGAAAAATAAAATTAATTATCATGTGCAAATATATTCGTGAGTGCAGTTATTTTGTCAGTGAATTGGCTTCACACATTGTACCCAAGTCAGGAATCGAACCCGGGTCTTCGGCGTGACGAGCGAACGCTTTAATCACTAGGCTACCCGACCGCCCCTTTTTGTGATTGAAGTGAGGAAGGGTGCCAAGAAGGGACGGTTGTTGTGATTTACACTTACACCTGGCTGACGAAGGACGCCGCCACACTGTACAGGAACGATCTGTATGCAGTCGTAAGGACAAAGATGGCGTACAGGACTTCCAGGTGAGGGATGAGGATGAGGACAGACAGGAGGACGCCAATGAAGGATGCCGCACTCAAAGGTACAACCGCTGGCAGGAGGGACCGTCTCAAAGGTGTCGAGGCTGGATAGAAAAACAACAGATGTTTATGTGTGCAGTGAAAATGTTACTTCTGCACCAGAGTTCAGGACAGATCTACATTCAAATCGCGGCCTCAATCGAGCGAGCCCTCAATGTATTGAAAAATATGCAAAATACTGTTAGAAGTGTTTTTGTAGCTGGACAGGGTGGGAAGCCTATATGTTTCAAGTGGTTCCGGTTGCATAGGGGTAAACGCTGTCCATGCCAAACCGGAAGTTGATAGGTAGCCATTTTCTCGCTGGATAGTAAACAAAATGGGATTTCACCCCAGCACATGAAGCTTGATTTAGGCAACTAAGGTGTTTAGCCCTTTTAATTAATATTTTGAACTACATCGAACTTATATCATGCACCGACGAACTTCCGAACTATAATCATTATATTATTTATATACAAAAACCAATAAAATATCAGATATTTTTATCTTTACTTATTATGTCGTCTGGTGCTGCAAAGACGAGAGGAAAACTATCTTTATTTAACGACATTATTAATTCATACTAGCGTACTTTTGTGTTGATGTTAGATTTCTCGGGTTATTTCAGGATTTGTACAATATGAATATATTTTGAGATATGTTGATGGTTGTTGATTGCGTGAACAGAAATACTGTCACAGTTGTTGGAATATTATGTCTGGATAGTTAATATAAGAATGTTACATTGATTTGAACTGATTACACAGCAGTGGCATTGATGAAATCTGTTCTCGTTGAAGACATTTTAGAACGTTTTGTTAGTCCATGTGTTACCATCATTGTATTTCAACAACCTTGTTTTTGCCGCCAATAGCTGCAAACGTCCTCCGGTGGCATTAAGAAATGACGTATTCACGCTCTTGTTTAATAAAAGTCCATTGTACGATTCCAACTATATTATTAGCATTTTTATGATTCACTATCAAATAGTGATGATACCAGGTGCACCTGTCCCACCGGTGGCCCAAACACATGCAAAGGCAAATCTGAAAAAACAACTCAGGGATGTATAGTAGAAATTAACCGGAAATTTTAGCAAGAGTTGTATGACGCGCTTGAAATCTTCGTTGAAAGACCATGGTCGATTGTATCCCAAAAGCTGTGTAATGTAGACACCAAAGGCTGGAGCTGGAATATGTGTCGACATAAAGGGAAAGTTGGAAGGTCAAAGTCGTTCCTTTTTGTCATCCTGTTACTCTGAATTATTACGTATTCATCCAAATGTGACATGGAGGAGCCAGTTTCACTCTTTCTAGTTCAGGTGGGTACATCAGTGGCTATTATTGAACGATATCAGATCAACGATATACCTCAAGCAAAGTTAGACTTCTTTGCAAAATTCCCTTGTTATTATTTTGCAAATCTCGATTCATATACATAAAACACAGATCATCAACAAGGGCAGCACAATTGGTGCCCATGGGGATGCCTAATTCTTGCCTAAATGCCTTTTCCTTAAAATTCACAGAGATTTTATCAATTAGGAAGTCCAGCATACTTGTCTTCTCAGTAAATTGGAGATGACATGTGCTTTCATATTGGACAATTTGTCCTGAAACTAAAGAAAGAGATGTATCTGTGGGCACCACGTTTAGCAACAAATGACCCATGGAAAAAGGAATGACGTGTGAAAAAAATCAAATCTTTAAAATAATTGAACTTGGTTCTTTTCTGAGACTGCATGTGAAAACAATTCACAGAATTTAGTAACTGCAATGAAAAATGGCTTCCGTCATTCTGACAAGGATACATACATTAATCATGGCCTTGATTATTATAATCACGACCTTAATTATTATAATCCTGGCCTTAATTATTAATTATCGGCAATTTAAGAGGCAGGAACAAGGTATAAATTAGATGTTGTCAGGCTAAAACTACCACGACAGTCAGTTTAAATTTAAAATCAACAACCTAAACAGTGTTAAACCAACTACCATCAACCCATACAGTTTTTGCTTTGTAAAATATCTCGGAATATAGAAATCACACAAAGGTTTTAAATTGTTACAAAGCCTAAAATAGTCTTATATAGCTAAAATTGACACAAAAGTATGCTAGTGTGAATTTATAAAGTCGTTTTCACGCGGAAAATCACCTAATGTTTTACTCGTCGCGATCGCGCCAAATGACATCCAAAGTTAAGTTTAAAAATCGAACTTATTATCGAGTGTTTTATATAAATACTATAACGTGTATAACCCGGAAGCCCTTCGGTGAATTTTATGTTAGATTTGTTGACAAAATGTTAATTAAAAAGGCTGATACCTTAGTTGCCTAAATCATGCGTCACTTGGGTCGTATTTGCGACGGTATACAAAGGTACAGTCGAGTACCTGTGATATCACTACTTGTTTAAATCATTACAGAGCAGTATAATTTGATTTAGCGTAGTGACCATTAAACAGGCAAAGGTGAGGGCGGGACCTGGGAATATTTCACAATAAAATGGAGATACATTGCATTGAGGATGGTTAAACGTTTACTATGGTAACACAATAACAACAAGTAGTAGTAGTAGTAGTAGTAGTAGTAGTAGTAGTAGTAGTAGTAGTATTGACCTTTTTCACACTTCGCTACTTCCGGTTTGAAATGTCAACAAGGCACGCAATCGGGACAAACTGTGACAAGTTAACCATCCCGGTACATTTATCGTAAGTATTGAACATAATTCTTATTCTTATCATTGACAAACTATTCTACTGTTATCTGGTCTCCTTACCGATATAAATTTGAGTCTGGCCGTTCTGTTGTGATTTCAATTTAAAATATCCATGACCACCTGGTAACTCCCAGTGCAGTTTATGGTAGCTGAACAGACTTAATACAAATGCTACTGAGATCTTGTAAGGAATAGTTCATTGTTTACACACCATTAAGCCAAACTATTTATTGTGAGTTTAAATAACTTTGCGGGTTGTATTTGAAGTCGAAATATTGACCTTTTGACCATATCTAGATATATGTCAGAAACTAACAAAATTGATATGTTGATATAATGTAACTCATATCTCATAACTCAAATTGTAACCTACTGAGAATTTACAATCGTAACAAATCAGAATTTTACATCAGTTGCGTATTTGATATAAATTGTAATGGACTCAAATGCATTCCAATAGAATATTAGACCTCTAGATCTTCTTGTGCTGTTGTGATTGTGAACAGTTGTTATTTTTATTGTCGATGTTGACAGATTAGATAGCATGAGGTGTAATATTTCAACTGAATTATCACATAAAGGGTGTGTAAATAATTGAAGTACAGTACAGTTAGATCTGCAATTTTGGTAACAATATTTCTACCAAAATGATATTTACTTTACTGTACCAAATTAATCTTGTCATGAAATGAACAAAAACCCAACTAATTAATGGCCAGTAAATGTTCAATCTACATGTGATCTTTAATATATAACTTTTTAGAAACAGATAACTCTTTAACAGTTTGTATTCAAATATTTCAAATGCATAAATTGACATTGACATCACTATAAACTTAAAGTATAAACAGAATTGTTTTTAATTCCCATGCGTATTGCAATCATAACTCATTTATTCCCTTTGTTTAATTGTGAAACCCATCTGGTTTTATGTCCACAAACATGTTTTGAAACTTTTAAAACAAAAAATATTTCTTTTGTGCAAGCAATTGCTATGTATTATTGATTATTAATCATATCAATTTATATGAAAGAATTTAGTTGTGCTTCCTGTGTCATTTTTTATTGTTATGATGTAATATTTAACTACTGTTAACAATCTTTGGAACTTTAGTTTATTTCGATCAAGTCAAGTTGTGTGATCATTTTGATAATTTTATAATTCAATCAAAACGAGAAATCTATAAAAAATATACATACATAGAAGAAATTTGTTTTCCTTGTCAAATAACGATGATAGCATGAATTTATCTCATGCTCCTGGTATAGCATGCTCCTTGTAAAAATTCATTCTAGTTCTTCTTCGAATGTACCTTATATGATGTTTTTAGGGAGACATTACTGACAGCCATCAATAATCTTGGAGGACAAAAAAATCTACATTGTATTCTATTTGGTGATCCAAACTTAGATGTTTTCCTGAATACAAAAATATTCTTGTCTGTACACAAATTTATAGAAACGACGAACAGATTCAGTAGCTAGCATATTATTGTTTCCAAACTGTTGATCATTAATATTGTTAAATCTATATTCAACACTAAAATGTATAATGTTAGGATATGTATGAGATGCACACTGTCTTCACTTTCCAGCTCATTGTACATATCCTTCATATGAGCACTGTATATATATTGTGCACTATTTTTCCACAGTGTGAAGCTTCAACAATAAATTGTTCAATTTCATTATGCAATATTATGTATAACTGTATATAGGGAGAAGGCGGTAATAAGTGCTGCACTTATGCCCAATCCCTTTGTCTTTTTGGACAATAAAATATGTTTAATAATATCTCATCTTGTGATCTGACAAAGTTAATATTTTCAAGTCAAGATATCAACTTTAGTACACCACAAGAAGAGATAAACATTTCATTTGACAAAATAAATTCAAGTCTTATATTTTCTTTGTGATCTTCATGACAATACTCAGAAAACCATAGTGTCAATGAGGCAGACTGAGTTTAGGTGTGACAAAACGTGATATTTCACCTGATTTTAATAAAAAATTGATTTCACTTTAGCGAAAGTATGTTTTCAGCATGGTCAGACTAAACAAAGTATTTCATGATTAAATACATACCGGTAATACAAATATCAAAACGTGTTTCATTAAAACAAGAGTGAATTTCTGTGTGACATTGATATAAAGAGCTGTAGTACACTGTCATTAAATTGATGCATCTGTTGAGTTAACACAGAATTTACTGTTTGAGTTTTAGGCATATCAGATGAATTGAGATGCCTTCAAGATTGTTCTGAAGTAGCATGGAATGTTACACACTGTGATTAATTTTCCTTAAACTTCTCAATTTCAGAAGAATGTTGTTTTCTAAATGAGCAATATTTTGAGAGAAGGTTAATATGCATTGTTTATAAAAAAATGTTATTGAAGTAGAAATATCATTACAATATTATTGAATTATTCATTTCAGGACAGCGAGTCAACACAATGAAGTACTAGTATCCGGTGACGGATGTCTGGAGGAGCTTTCTGCTGACAGTAACACAATGGTTACAATGTGCGTCCTGTCAAAGGACTAGGAAGTGGAAAGCCATATCCATTCAGTCAACAAATGTGCTTCCTGCCACATTTCACTTAAATAGGACGAGGAAGTGAAAAGCCTTATTCACTCACAAAACAACATGGCCAACATTTATCAGAAAAAAAAAGCACATTGTACCATTTGTTTCCAAGCAAGAAAATTATTATCTTCTGTCATTGAATGTACTGTCACATTGTACCTATATGCCGACAAGGTTATGATAAAACAATCTATTCCTGAAATACATATCTCGAAATGCACCTTTCGATTCACTTCCTGGATCCTGACAGCAAAATGCTAATTCCAGTGTATTACAGGCATATTTTAGTTGGACCTCATGATTAAATGTGAAATATCTTCTGTTTTAGATACAGAGGATACCATTTTTTGTTAGTTTGAAATGTCCATCAGTGAAATGCACAACATGCTGTCTGTCCCCTATGTGCTGATGCGACTCACACTGCATGAAACTATGCTCTCCAAGCCTCGTTTCCGATCCAAGATCGCGAAAGTGTGAAAAAGGTCAATACATTGACAAAAGGCAATTATCCAGGTATTACTATGTATCTGCTCAAATGCGGTATATTTGTATTCCGGCCAATAAACCATTTGCATTCCAGTTATCATTCTCAACTCCCTGGGGAGTATACAACCCATGCTACCTGCCCGCGCTATATGGCTTTTACAATAAGATACTCAAGATGTCCACATCAAGCTCCACCAGCTCCATTGTACTTAATTTTACATCTCTTCCATTTATCACACTTTTTTTTCTCCTTATCTTGTTATCTTTGTACATTAACCCTACCTTGTGTAAACATTTCAGCAAAAATATATATTAACTCAATACACTTACTCCGTATTCACCTGATGAAAGGGCAAGACGTAGCCATGAAACGCTACAAAGAATATAGAACTGTTATCCATAAAAAAACGGCCATGTATCATGGTATTTTAAAAAGCCTTTATTTGTAGTATTTACTTGAAACATAAACGTCAAATATAGGATTCAGTTTTATGAAACAAGAGGTTGTCACAAGACATAACTATTTTAACCCTATGTGAGCATACTGACCTTTATATTTGGCCCTCTGCAAGTCGTACACGATGCCGCTCAGACAGGAAGTGACGTAACCGAACATGGTGGCGTACAGGAAGACGTTGGTGAAATGGCTGACTGTAGAAGAAGGTTCAGTCATATACCTTGTCATAACTGTCGGCAAGTTTCATACACAGATTCGTTAAACAGGATTGAGCGGGTTGGATTTTACGCCGTTTTAAACAGTAGTCCTGTTATATCACAGCATGTCAGCTTGATGTGGGACGAAATAGAGGTCTCGGACATTTACCACTTTGGTGACACCCACGAGCACGGGTATGGTGCTGACAAACCTAGAAACATTATCGGGACGAACCGGGATTCGAACCCACGGCCATAGCTTTCTGGCGTGCCCAAGGGATGCGGTATCTTCACAGCAATGTGTGACGCCTAAGACGACTGGGCTATCTGAACCCTATAAATGCCTATAAATGGAAGGGAAACCTATGACGATCCCCCTGAAATACCAATGCATGTGGAAATTACTTTTATTTTCATTCAAGAGAGCACTGTTCAGGGGTTTGGAATTGCTTTGTTTTTGTTCTGTTGGCTAAAACATCTTCCTACAAGAAGAGAAATCATGTTTTAACTCAAAAATAAAAGGCAAAATGTATTTGCCTTCATAATCTATTATTATTACTATTTTATTATCAAAATATGTTTTCTCTAACATTCTGGTCTAACTACTTTAAGACTACCGACCTACCCTGTTGTGTGTTGCCTCGGGTTATGTAGGTGAGGTAAGGGTTGAGGAGGGACGTGAAGTTGATGAACCTGATCTGCAGGATGTTGTACCACAGAAGGTGGAACAGGTACAGGGGGGACAGCAGGTACTTTGTCACCCCCGGGATCTGCTCCCCGGCGGTATCTTCTTTGGACGGATGTAGCTGCTTGTCTCCCTCAGGCTGGTGTTGGTCACTGTCCCTGTCTAGAGTGTATCAATATCAGATAGTAGTCGATTGTGGGGATAGGCTAGAAATATACAAAATTTGTTAATACCAGCCCTTGTGTTGTCTCACAACAGAGCTTTCCATTTTGATCAATAAAAGATGGAACGATAGACATCGCAACAAAGATTTCGTATTCTTTTGCTTTAACCCTTTGGTTTTGAAAAATCAAAATCTAAAAAGCTCCAGATCGGTCCAGTTATTCAGCTTCCAAACTCAGCTTTCTGTTTTCAGTGTCGTGACCATGAAAGATGCTTTCAGGCCAGTGTGGCCGTTTCTAAAATATGTTTGTGTGTTTGTTGAACAACGCGGCACCAGTCACATGACAATGGACAAAACAATCCAGCGACTGATATCATGAGCATCTATCTACGAACTATGGATACGATGACACGCATCAACAAAGCCAGCGAACCTGACCCTCTGATCCGGATTGTCGTCTCTTATGACCAGGAGGACTAATTCTACCCGGGGATGATGAAGATATAGGACCGATTTTCAGCTTCTGAGCTTTTCATGCAGATAGGAATACACAGCTCTCACAAAGCTCAAAGACCGGTTCCGTGATCGAGATTGATCTATATTACGGACATAACCATCGATGCTTTTTAATTGGCCATGGCCAACCGAAATGGTATGTAGATAATATTATTGGATGTGTGTATATGTATCTATTCTAATTACGTTCCCATTTTCATTTCCACAAATATTCAGAGATACCGCTCTCAACTCTTTTACAACACTCGCAAACTACTAAATCGAGAAAAGGATTACGTTTTGCCAAAGACAGGAATTTGTATTTCTTTGTTACTAAACCATGCTATAGTTAAAATGCCCACTTTCGACACCCGATTCACAACGGTAATTGGCTTTCAATTGTAATTGGCTTTCAAAAGTTTTAAGGAATGTGCAGGCTAAGTTAATGTTGAAGTAAGTGAATATGAAATATACGTTACAACTAAACAAATCCAACCTATGCACCATCTCCACCTAACGTGAGTGAGTGGGTGAGTTAAGATTGAAAGTCAGATCGGCAGTATTTTAGCCACATCGTGACTGTCCACTTTAAGGAACCTTATCACATAACAGAATATCCTCCAGGTATTAACGTGTAGATCGACATAACCGTATTAACGTGTAGATCGACATAACCGTGTGTGTGTGTGTGTGTGTGTGTGTGTGTGTGTGTGTGTGTGTGTGTGTGTGTGTGTGTGTGTGTGTGTGTGTGTGTAGTCTTCAATGGTTCACATTTGTTGTCACCTTCGACCCTGAATGGCTGCATTTCTTGTTCCTGATCCTGGTCGTCAGGTGGCGCTACTTGGTCATTTTTTTCAAACATTCCCGACGGCATCCAACAGATGGCGCTGATGACAGTCATCACACTTACTCCCGCCAGAACAAGATGTGTGATCATGAGGGATGCTCCTGTTTCGTAGGCAAACTGCAACAAATATGTCATGTTTCTGTAAGTCAGTACTGTGTCGCTTGAACTGTCCAATAGTCAACTGTCCCTTTTTGACTGACGAAGTATTGTTTTCATAAATAGAATAGTAGTTGTTCTCGGGGAGAGGGTCACACTGTAACGTACTTTGATGAAGAGCATGACGGACCCGGCGAAATCGTAGCCGCCGCAGATGACGGATGCCACAGTGCCGCTCGTCTTGGAGAACAGATACGACACCTGCAGGAGATACGGTGAATAAGTGAATACCCCACCTGTATATCGATGATGGAGAAGTTACAAGCTATGTGTATGAATATACCTGTATATTCGTCAGTAGAAGCTACTAGCTCTAACTCTTTAACTGTACATTCGTCATGAGCAGCTCTATCTACAAGTATATTCGTCATGAGATGCCTGCAGCGCAAACTACCTAGAAGTATATTTGTCAGGAGAAGCCTGCAGCTCAAACTACCTACAAGTATATTCGTCATGCGCAGCTCTATCTAAAAGTATATTTGCCAGGAGGAGCCTGCAGCTCTAACTACCTACAAGTATATTCGTCATGAGCAGCTCTATCTACTAGTATATTCGTCATGAGAAGCCTGCAGCTCTAATTATCTACCTGTACTTTCGTCATGAGAAGCCTGCAGCTCTAACTATCTACCTGTACTTTCGTCATGAGAAGCCTGCAGCTCTAACTATCTACCTGTAATTGCGTCATGAGAAGCCTACAGCTTTAACTATCTATCTATAATTTCGTCATGAGATGCCTGAAGCTTTAACTATCTACCTGTAATTACGTCATGAGAAGCCTGCAGCTCTTACCTGTGTACCTGTAATTACGTCATGAGAAGCCTACAGCTCTAACTACATACCTGTAATTACGTCAGGAGAAGCCTGCGGCTTTAACCACATACCTGTAATTACGTCATGAGAAGCCTGCAGCTCTAACTATCTACCTTTAATTTCGTCATGAAAAGCTTGAAGCTCTCACTATCTCCCTGTAATTACGTCATGAAAAGCCTGCAGCTTTAACTACATACCTGTAATTACGTCATGAGAAGTCTGCAGCTCTAACTATCTACCTGTAATTGCGTCATGAGAAGCCTACAACTTTAACTACATACCTGTAATTACGTCATGAGAAGCCTGCAGCTTTAACTATCTATCTATAATTTCGTCATGAGAAGCCTGAAGCTTTAACTACATACCTGTAATTACGTCATGAGAAGCCTACAGCTCTAACTATCTACCTGTAATTACGTCATGAGAAGCCTGCAGCTCTAACTACATACCTGTAATTACGTCATGAGAAGCCTACATCTCTAAGCTGTCTACCTGTATTTACGACATGAGAAGCCTGCAGCTTTAACTTCATACCTGTAATTACGTCATGAGAAGCCTGCAGCTCTAACTACGTATCTGTAATAACGTCATCAGAAGCCTGCAGCTCTAGCCTGTCTACCTATATATACGTCATGAGAAGCCTGCAGCTCTAACTACATACCTGTAATTACATCATGAGAAGCCTGCAGCTTTAATTACATACCTTTATTAACGTCATGAGAAGCCTGCAGCTCTAACTACATACCTGTAATTACGCCATGAGAAGCCTACAGCTCTAACTACATACCTGCAAGTACGCCATGAGAAGCCTGAAGCTTTAACTATCTACAAGTATCTTCGTGATGAGGAGCCTATGGCGCTAGTTATCTACCTTTAATACCGACACGATTAATCTGCAGCTCTAACTACATACCTGTATATTGGTGATGAGGAGCCTGCAGCTCTAACTACATACCTGTATGTTGGCGATGAGGAGCCTGCAGCTCTAACTACATACCTGTAAATTGGTGATGAGGAGCCTGCAGCTCTAACTACATACCTGTATATTGGCGATGAGGAGCCTGCAGGTCTAACTAAATACCTGTATATTGGTGATGAGGAGCCTGCAGCTCTAACTTCATACCTGTATATTGGTGATGAGAAGCCTGCAGCTCTAACTACATACCTGTATATTGGTGATGAGAAGCCTGCAGCTCTACCTACATACCTGTATATTGGTGATGAGAAGCCTGCAGCTCTAACTTCATACCTGTATATTGGTGATGAGAAGCCTGCAGCTCTAACTACATACCTGTATATTGGTGATGAGAAGCCTGCAGCTCTAACTACATACCTGTTATTAAGTCATGAGAAGCCTGCAGCTCAAACTATCTACCTGTATATTGGTGATGAGAAGCCCCAGTCCGGATAGACCGACTGTCCAGTACCCCACGAATACCAACCAAGGAGTCGCTGAAATCATGTCATACATTAAGATTTTCTTATCATTTCCTTACAACGTGTTTTTATAGTTAACGCGATATACCATATACACACAATTCGTTAATTCGGACTTTTGTGGATCTGGGCGATTTCATGTATTCCGGTATGAAATCTTATTCAGAGGGTTTCATTGTATACACATTGACTATTGTGGTGCATCATACACATACAGCATTTCTTTTGTGTTTCAAATTCAACTCACCATTCGTCACGAACGCCACACAGAGGCAGCCGAAGACAAAGAGGAACCTGAAATTTGTTTTGGAGATAGCTGAAACATTGGTCCACAAAAATATAACTAATACTCCATGAAAGTTGACATCGAGACTTAATGCAACCGCTGCTTAATCCCACAACGAACTTCAAGCGTCGCTGTGTTTTTCTACACTTTAACCTTATGTAGTTATATCACTGTGTATTGTGCAGAAAAGAAACAACTGTGATCTTTTGGGCCACGTGTTAATTCAGATGAAGTGAAGTGAAATGTGATTAAGCGTCACGTTCATTATTATTGCTCTTATATAGCGACGTGCATGCACGTATGTGTGTGTGTGCGTGGGTGCGTGCGTGCGTGCTTTCGTACGTGCGTGCGTGCGTGCGTGCGTGTGTTCCTTCTTGTACCAGGTAAAGTGTTATATTGTCAGACCACCGAAATACCATACCCCACTCAGACACAGACCCCGAGCCTACCAATCCTTGTTTTATCCCCTCAACGCTTAGCGCCAGGCAGGGTAACAACAAGTAAAATCAGTTTTTACTTTTATTGGGGTGATGCGGGCTGTGATTACCCTCGACCTTCCGCTCTCCGAGCAGACGCTCTATCCACACACGACGGAGCCTGTCGGTTATTTTAGGTCCTCCAGTGTGCGGGTATTGCTAGATGACTTTCTTTGATGGTAGACATATTATACAAGTATACTGATACCATTACCACTGAATCAAAATATACTCCGATTAAATGTCATCTTGGATAAGGACGGTTACGTCATATTTTCGATATTTTATGTTTTCATGTTAGAACACATAATCGGCTGTTGCAATTACCTTTCCAGTTACATTTAGAGTTCTTTAAAATGCGATATTACCAAATTCCGATTCGAAGTCGTTTGGTTCCAATCCGTCTGTGAAGTTGACCAATGAGTAGTGTTCCCAAGAAAGACACACTACCGGAAATCGTCTGCCCTAAAGCAATCACTGAATCCTGGGCTTTACATTTCACACTTCCGGTAGCGAATCCTTCCGCTGCTTGAGTTGAATTGTGTTCATCCGCGAAGGTCTTTAAACTCCGATTCATATACTGTTCGTACGTTACTTGAGGGTACTTTAAGTGTGTCTTGCTAGTGAATAGCAGGTATGACGGGGATGTTGATTCTATGCTATATGTCAAGGTAGAGCCATAAGTCATATTCTGGTCAGTGTGCGAGTTTTGCGAGATATTTGGTGTACATAGGTGGGAATATAGTCCCTCCTCTTTGATGATGTAGACAAGTGATGGCCATCCGTACATGACTCCCCCGAACAATGACGTCTCCACGACTGCCCACGTCGCCACAAGGAGGCGATATCTGTGGGGGTCCAACATTGCTCTGAATGGTAAATCTGAATGAAAAGAGAGAGAGAGAGAGAGAGGTGTATTGAAAGGAGAAACGAGAGAAAGGGGTGAGAGGCAAATAAATTGGAGAAAGAGAATAGATGAAAAGGAGAGTAGAGATGAGACAGAAAAGAGGGAAATATGAGGGAGTGTAGATGAGAGGAAGCGATTAGCGAGTGATAGAGAGAGATAGGGCGAGATATGAAATATATGAAAGTAGGGTGGAAGAGGCTGGAAGAGGCTGGAAGAGAGAGATGTGAGGAGTTCAGAGAGAAATAAGAGATGAGAGAGGGGGGCGTTCGCGAGCTTGAGAGATGTCTTGGTGATAATAGAATGCTACCACATCTTCTTGACTGACGAGAAGAGACAAAACAAATATGTATATTGGTGCATTTAAATGTTAGGCATGAGCACAAGTCGTATATGACAGGAACTTATTACCGTAGCGACCTTACAAGCAGTACGCATCATACATACACACAGTAAAGCTACACATTGTTATATTCAATACCTACCTACACCACAAGTTCTCTGCAAGGTCGATATACTCTCAGTCATACACGCAAGTACATCGAATCGTGCTCCTCAAACGACCTCCACTCTCATTTCTACCTTCCTCCCGAAACATGAATATAAAGAGCGCCATGTTGTTAGCCTGACGCCATACCCTTGACATAAATAGATATACATGTTCCGAAGATATTCATGCGTTGTTGGGTCAGGTAACATTATCGCTCCATTCCCCCGACATGTCCGACCCTGTCCATACACAGAGTCAGGGCCCTGGAAGCGGTGTAGGTGTTAGGACGCTTGTTTAGGGCTGACCCTGTTCAATACATACATGCGGGCAATGTTGACACAGTGGAAAAGTTGTGGTCTGTTAATTGTTTTTTTTTTTTTTTTTTTTTTGGGGGGGGGTATTGTGCTACCTAGATTTGTGTGCTAAACGTCAAGGATATGTGTCAGTGATAATGCTGTCGTGACTTTACATTTTAACTCATTCACAACTAACTGCCAAGCGACTGTCAGGACACCAATTGTCTGATGTAACATGGGACACAAAGGACATAAATACAAATATTTACAGATGAAATGTGTATTGAAATTGCGCGAGTAGCATGACAATACTATTTTGGTAAGGCACGCCCATAAACCAGAAACCGTTAAAAGTCCATTAATGTCATTCATTGTGAACCGGCCGCCTCCGTCGTCTAATGGTAGAGCGTCCGCCCGGAGAGCGGAAGGTCCGGGGTTCGATCCCCGGCCGCGTCATACCAAAAGACGTTAAAAGTTGTTATCCTGTCTGGCGCTCGGCATTAAGGGACTAAAACAAGGACTGGTCGGCTCGGAGTCAGTATACTGTGTCTGAGTGGGGTATTCATGTTAAATTGCGGCATGGTATCTCAGTGAGCTAGTACTATAAATCGGCATCAGTCCGGACTAGTACAAGCAGCCACACAAACACACACACGTACATGCACGTCGCTTTATAAGTGCAATAATCTTGGACGCGACGTTAAACCCCATTTCACCTCACCTCACCTCATTGCGAACCTTTAGACAGGTTAGCAGAGTTAGGGTGTTGAATCTGCAGAACCCAACCTGTTTTGTCGATCTGTCGTCAAGATATTACTTGTAGGCTTAACAAATCTGGCATGTTACAACCAAAAAGTCATAATATTTGTTTGTTTTCTGTAATATTCTTTTATTGTAACTGGACATGGACTCCACTGGTGCCGTAACAAACTCAGGTATTTGTTTGTTGTTAAACGCCTCACAGCTCAAGCTATATGATGAGACCAGATATACCAATGATTGATATTATGAGCAACGACCAACGACGTCACAATTAACGTCACAAATTATCTAAACTAAGCGGCAAAAGAAAGTATAGGTTGGCAATTTGTAATTTTCCTAAAACAGCGATAACTAGTGGAAAGTGGGTATTGGGAATATGACTGCCCAGGGACAGGTACCAAAAACACCTCACCCGAACGCGCCACCTTTGACGGCGCTCGTGCGGTGACAAAAAATGGTGATACAAGTTTCCAGCCTATGGCATAAACTGCACGTGCATGTTAGCTGTATAAATGCGTTCGTCTGTGTTCGTTGTTGTGAAAGCACACAAAAGAAATGCCACGACTGCCACATGAGCAGAGAGAGAGAACCATCGGTATGGCCGAAATGGGGGCAACACAGGTCCAAATTGCCAGAAGGTTTGGTTGTACACCATTGACAGTAGCCAGGCTGATTCAACGGTACAGGCTGACAGGGAGGACACAGGACAGGCCTAGAACCGGACGACCCCGAGTGACAACACCACTGGAAGACGGTCAGATACGGCTCATTCACCTGCGAAACATATTCGTAACGGCGACGGCGACGGCGACGGCGACGGCAGCAACAACGTTGGGACATCCCATTAGCCAACGTACAGTACTACGACGAATTCGTGCTGCTGGAATCCGAGCGTATCGTCTTTTCCGAGGAAAGGTACTGACTGCTCAACATCGACGCCTGAGACTGCGATGGGCGAGGCAGGATCGACGCTGGCAAGTGAGAAATTGGCGTCGAGTGCTGTTTACTGATGAAAGTCGGTTTCACTTGTTTCGAAATGACGGCAGAGGACGAGTTTATCGACGCAGAGGGGAACGTTTGGCAACGGCGTGTATTCGAGAGGTCCATCCATTCGGCGGGGGAGGTGTCATGGTGTGGGGCGGTATTTGTGGAGATCAGAAGACTGATTTGGTGATTATACAGGGAAACCTGAACGCTGGGCAATACATAGACTAAGGGTTGCAGCCAGTTGTGCTTCCGTTCTTACAAAATCAACAGCAGAGGACATTGTTTCAACACGACAATGCCAGGCCTCATACTGCAAGACCGAGAATTGCAGCAGGCCCCGAGAGGAGTGGCAACGGATTCCAGTCCACGTCATCAGAAGACTGACGTCATCAATGAGGCGACGTATCACAACATGCATTGAGGCAGCTGGGGGTCATACACGCTATTGAAGGCAACTGTGTCGACAATGAACTTGTAGTGTGTCTGACAATTTTTGGTGACATTTCAGACAACTTTTGAAAATGAATTTTTTTTACCCCACCATTGTTGACCTTGAGCTTACATTACCTGTGATTGCACAATTTCATTCAAACTGTGGTTGATCAATCATTTGTTACCCCTCCCTAGATTATATCATAATTCACAACAAAACCTCTTCTTGTTATTTTTTTATCGATCATGGAACTCGACCTTTGCTTTTTTTTGCCGCCCAGTTTATTTTGTGAACGGGCGTGAGTGCGTGTGTGTTTGTGGCTGTTTGTACGAGTCCGAACTAATGCCGGTTTTATAGTTTTGCCTACTGGGACACCACGCCGTGGTTTAACATGGCCACTCCACTCAGACACAGTACACTGACTCCGAGCCGACCAAACCTTGTTTTATCCCCTTAAAGTCGAGCGTCAGACAGGGTAACAACACGTACCAAATTTTAACGTTTTTGACATGACGCGTCCGGAGATTGATCACCCGACATTCTGGTTTCCGGGTAGGCGTTCTATTCACTAGACCACGGACACGATCCTATCATCAAAGAATACGTGTTAACGAGAACGCACTATTCTTGTACGTATCAGCGTAGAAAGCATTATTACAATAACTAGTAATATGCCATAGGTCCGGGGGCACGTCATCTGTCTCGCATTGCTATGACAGTTGCACATGTAGTTGTATCTATCCATCTATTTTATTTAACTATATCTTTCCAATCATTTACTTAATGCGGGGTACATGTCGCGCACCCGTGCCTCTTACACGTTTTACATCGTTTATTTTAAATGTATTTTTTTTCTTTTTTTAACATTTGTGTTTTTAGCACACTATGTGCTTTTATTTGTACTTATGAGATATTTGGTGTCCCATAGGCCATATCGGCCGGATGATATACAATAATTGTTTTTAACTGTTTGACCTTATGTATGTATATCATGCGACACCTTAATAAAATATTTTCTTCTTCTTTTCTTCTTCTTCGCATCACAAGCTATCAAGTGGGGCGGTCGGGTAGCCTGGTGGTTAAAGCGTTCGCTCGTCACGCCGAAGACCCGGGTTCGATTCCCGACATGGGTACAATGTGTGAAGCCCATTTCTGGTGTCCCCCGCCGTGATATTGCTGGAATATTGCTAAAAGCGGCGTAAAACCATACTCACTCACTCACTCACTCACTCACAAGCTATCAAGCTGATGTTGCATCTTCCGACAAAGAACTGCATACCGTGTATGGTACTGACAAATCAAGAAGGATCAACAGGGCATAACAGGGCATACCAGGTCATCCCAGGGCATATACCCGCGATAATCGGATTTTAGCAATCCTCAGGGGCGGCGCTCTGCACATCGAATTGACCACTGTACCATGTGTTTCGCTTTTGTTGCGCAATTGCATTAAACTCCCTCTAAAGATCATTATGTCATATATTTCTTACAACACTAACTTACTGTTTTTGGAAATATATTATAATCAGTATTAGATAATACTTTTCAGAGTAGTCAATGCACCGACAGCCGCATACCAGTTCACAAAAGGTGCGTTGTTTTTTCTTAATTCCGTTTATTGATGATGGTGATCATATTGGAGATTTAACGAGCGCTTCCACTAGTCCGGACAGATGCCGATTTATAGTGCTAGCACACTGAGATACCATGCCGCAGTTTAACATGAATACCCCACTCAGACACAGAATACTGCCTCCGAGCCGACCAGTCCTTGTTTTAGCCCCTTAATGCCGAGCGCCAGACAGGGTAACAACAAGTACCATCTTTTAACGTCTTTAGGTATGACGCGGCTGGGGATCGAACCCCGGACCTTCCGCTCTCCGGGCGAAGGAAAATATAGAGTTCTCAGACCTGGAAACACAAATATTCTCTCTCTCTCTCTCTCTCTCTCTCTCTCTCTCTCTCTCTCTCTCTCTCTCTCTCTCTCTATATATATATATATATATATATATATATATATATATATCTTTATTTTCAAAGCAGCGTGTACGTCGTTGCTTATAGAATTACTAACTTAGTAAGGATGGCTTATTTGAGTCGCACCTCATTTTTTACATATAAAACACTTTATAATGTGATATAAAACGAACCACTCCTTTTGGCGTTATGAGAGACTAAAAGTATAGAATAAAATAGATTACAGAATAATTTCATAAAGTACAGATGTACAGTACTCTGATATAAAATGTTCTTGCTTAAATTTAAAATAGGTATGCAGGTTTTGGCACTGGTACTTACAGCACTGGGATTGGCCGGGATAAAATAAGCATCAACAACATCCCTTAAAATTGTATTAAGTATCATGTTTATCCTTGCTTTTAGGTATTGCAGATCACCGCTAACAGACTAGCTTATTTACAGCTGTTATAAGGAGTCACATAACTGATTGCATATACAGTAAACTACGTATATAACGAACACGCTTATAACGAACTGACTGATATAACGAACTTATGTTTTAGTCCCGACTATTTGTTGTAAATATGCTGTGTGTATGCTTATAACGAACTACGGTTATTACGAACTAAAATTAGTGGTCCCCTCGAGTTCGTTTTAACCGTAGTTTACTGTATGTTTGTGCCTTGGTTGTTTAACGCCGCACTGGTGTGTTGTCCGATCATTTATTCTGCTTTGATAAACAACAAATTCCGCCCCTTTTTACCGTACACCGATAAAAGTACTGTGCGACGATTTTTTTAATTTGGCAGTTTTACAGAAACTGTGTTTTAGATTTCAAAACATGTAGTAAATAACGCTGTGAGTGGTGATGTGTAAAAAATGGCGACATTTACGATGTACCTACTTTTCAGAGGTCATTTCCAGTGCTTTTGCCTCGCCGAAAATGCTAGTGGATGATATCTCAGAACAGATCATTTCCCGCATTATTCCAAACTTTGAAGTGTATCTGTCTGCGTGATGTATTTTGAATTGTATTCGACTTCAAAGTGGGGATTGAAGAGAAGGGACATATATGTCCCCCTGGCATCCATGGGGTTAACGTCGTTTTGAACATTATTCCAGTTATATCACGGCGTGTC